ATCGTTCACCAACAAAGAGTTTAAAGAATGTGACACCTCAGGAGGCTTGGAGTGGATGGAAGCCAAGTGTATCACATCTTCGAGTATTTGGTTCCATTGCTTATGCACAAGTTCCCAAGCAATTGAGATCTAAACTTGGTGATCGGAGTAAAAAACTTCTTTTCATTGGATATGATGAAAAGTCTAAGGGTTATAAGCTGTTTAATCCAAACACCAACAATTCAGTAATTAGCCGATACGTAGAGTTTGATGAAGAGGCGACATGGGATTGGAGCATAGAAGAGGAAGAATCTTACAACTTTCTTCCTTATTTTGAAGAAGAAAATTCAACACAACATGTTTCTGCTCCCACTACTCCACCATCATCTCCTCAAATGTTATCACCTTCATTACATTTAAATGGAGATTCAACTGATTCAAGTGAAGGACCAAAGAAATATAAAAGTCTTTCCGATTTTTATGAATGACAAAAAGGTTAGAAGATAATACTTCTTTATTTTGCTTATTCAGTGATATTGAACCAATGACTTTAATGAAGCAACGAAACAAAAGGAATGGATTCATGCCATGAATGAAGAAATACAAGCCATTCAAAAGAATGAAACATGGGAATTGACACCACTCCCAAAAGGAAAAAAGGCGATAGGATTCAAATGGGTATTCAAAATCAAGAGGAATGCTAATGGTGATGTTGAAAGATACAAAGCAAGACTGGTTGCTAAAGGTTACAAGCAAAAGCAGGGAATAGACTATGAAGAGGTATTTGCCCCAGTTGCCCGACTAGAGACAGTGAGGTTGCTAATTTCAATAGCAGCGCAATTTCAGTGGAAGATTCATCAAATGGACGTAAAATATGCTTTTCTAAATGGATTTCTAGAAGAAGAAGTGTACATTGAACAATCAGAAGGTTATGCTGTCAAGAGACAAGAGAATAAAGTACATAGATTGAAAAAGGCTTTATATGGGTTGAAGCAAGCTCCTTGAGCATGGAATAGTCAGCTCGATAGATATTTACAAGAAAATGGATTTTGAAGGTGCATTTATGAGTATGCACTCTATGTCAAAAAGAAAAACAATGATGTTTTCTATGTTTGCATATATGTGGATGATCTTATATTCACAAGAAGTAGTATTGAAATGTTTGAAGATTTTACGAAAAGAATGGCATGCGAATTTTGAGATGACGGATATGGGACTCATGTCCTATTATCTAGGAATTGAAGTAACTCAGAGTGATGAAGGAATTTTTATCTCACAGGAAGCTTATACAAAAGGAGTATTGAAGAAATTCAATATGTTGAATGTTAATCCAGTGAGCACTCCAATGGAATGTGGAGTGAAATTGTCGAAGAATGATCCGTATGGACAAAAGGTAAATCCAACCTTATTTAAGAGTCTAGTAGGAAGTTTAAGATACTTAACTTGTACTAGACCAGACATATTATTTGTTGTTGGACTAGTAAGTCGCTTTATGGAGAATCCATCTACTCTTCATCTGAATACTGCAAAGAGAATTTTCCGCTATTTGAAAGGCACATTAGATCATGGGTTGTTATACTCTACTTCACATGATTTCAAGCTTTGGGGATATTGTGATAGTGATTTTGTTGGAGATATTGATGATCGTAAAAGTACAACATGCTTTGTGTTTTTACTCGAAAACAATGTTGTTTCATGGAGTTCAAAGAAACAACCAATTGTTACACTATCTACATGTGAATCAGAATACATAGTTGCTACTTCGTGTGCATGCCATTCAATATGGATAAGGAGATTATTGAAGGAACTCCAACTGCCACAAAAGGAACCCACTGAGATTATGACTGATAACAAGTCAGCTCTTGCTTTGGCGAAAAATCCTGTCTTTCATGACTGAAGTAAACATATTGATACAAGATTCCATTTTATATGGCAGTGCATCGATCAGAAAGAAATTGAATTGAAGTTAGTAAATTCTTTGGATCAAATTGCAGATATCTTTTACGAAGCCATTGAAGTTTGAAGATTTTAATAGGATGCAGAAGCAATTGGTATTGTGAGAAAGTCAAGTTTAAGGGGGAGTGTTAAAAATAGATAAATAAACTTGACATCAATATATTCATGGAAATGAGAAAAACAAGCAAAGCTATTAAAATGTGAGAACGAGAGAATTATTAGGAGTAACATTCATTTATTAGCATACACCAATATTATATAAACGCAATATGTAATTCATTTTGTACTAAGAAGAAAAAAGTAGAAAAGTAAGACTCGCATTTTGTAAGACATATAAGAGTTATTGTTAGTGCATTTGTTTTCCTCTCTATATTACTGTCTGAAATATATTTGTGTGTCCACCATGCTTCCAACAGATTTTGAGTGGAATTGTATATGGAATGCTGAGATCCCCACAAATATAATAAATTTTTTTTGGCATGCTATTAGGGGGTCTGTTGCTGCTCGTGCTACACTGATTAGCAGGGGTATGGCTGTTGATCCTACATGCCCTATGTGTTGAGACTCGCAAGAGTCAATCCTGCACATGATGGTGTTCTATGGAGAGGCAAATATGATGTGGGTATCTCTCTCCCTTGAGATTGGAAGTAGAAAAGTTTCATGGGAGCAGCTTTGCGGAGTGGTGTGGTGAGGTGCGTGTGGCTCTTAAAGACCCCTCCTGGTGGAATATCTTTTGGAGTATGGTGAGGGGAATATGATTACGTAGGAATGAGTGGTTGATGTTATTCATAAGGTTGTAAGCATTGTAGGTGAATTCAAGAATGCCAAAGAGCAAGATGGCAGCCATTCCACTTCTGAAATTCTGGAATGTCGTTGGAAGGCTCCTCCATCTGGTATAATCAAGGTAAATTCTGACGCTACATTTCACTTAAAATATGGTGGATTGGGGCTGTGATGCGTGATGATGTGGGGGACGTTGTGGCTGCTACATGCTTGCAGGTTGAAGGCAAGTTTGCTGTAGACATAGCCGAGGCTATGGCATTGAGACACGCTTTAGTGATCTCTATAGAGTCGGGCTTTATGAAGGTATGCTCAGAGACTGATAATATCGAGTTGTATCACAGCTTGCAAAAGCGTAGGGTGGAACCGACAGCTTTTGGCTTAATCATCAAAGATATCCTCGTGCTTGCTAGCTCCTGCCATGCTTGTACTTATGCTTTTGTGAAGAGAGATGGTAATCGGGTTGCCCATAGCTTAGCCAAGCTTAGTTGTAATTTTAATTCTCTTAGAGTTTGGTTGGAAGAATATCCTAGTGAGATACATGAGGTTGTCATGGCTGATTTTAGCCTTTCTTCTACTTAATAATTTTGCTCATTTCCGTCAAAAAAAAAAAAAAAAAATTATAGACAAAAGTTAGAGAGAGAAAATAGAATAAACTAAAAGGCCGGTGAAAAATTTAAGGGTAAGTTAGAAAGTTCAATGAATAAAGTTTAAAATATTAAAATATGATATGAGGGGAAGAAAATTAGTAAAATATTGTTAAAAGTTTTCAGGAAAAAAAATATGGAGCAAGTAATTAATAAGATACAGTCGCAAAAAGTAAGTGAAACAAGTAATTAAATATGGAGGAAGTACTCAAGGATCATCGCTTGTTTTATAACTTAAATAATCTAATTCGTAATTAATTTTCAATTTGGTAAATTGTGATTAGAGATAAACTAATAAAGTAAGTGGTATTTTTTTTTAGTCCAAAAAATCTATTTATTAAATGGGAAAGATATTATAATTGTGAAAATAATGATGATCTTGAATAATGTGAAGATCCAAAAGGATATTATAGATGATGATCCTGAATTTATGAAGGTCCAAAAGGATATTATAGATGAGGATCTTAAAAATGTGAAGGTCCAAAAGGATATTACATAGGATTGTTTCAAAATTGTGAAGGTCTAAAAGGATATTACAGATGATGATATTGACTTTGTGGAGGTCTAGGCCAAAAGGATAATACAGATGATGATCTTGAATTTGTTAAGGTCTAAAAGGATAATACAGATGGTCTTGAATTTGTGAAGGTCCAAAAGGTTATTACAAATGATGATCTTGAATATGTGAATATCCAAAAGGATATTTCATAAATTAGGGAATGAATTATAAAGAGAATTACATATATTAAATTAGGGAGTAAATCATAAAGAGATTTAAATTTCTAGGGACTAAATTATAGAGATTTACATGTACAGATAATATAAGAACAATCATATCACTAATAAATAAAGTCGATCTCGTTGCGAGACCACGAGAAAGTGACACTTGGTGTTCCAGTTTTTCGCCAAGTGTCGCGCTACATAAGCGATAAATAAGTATTATTGTGACACATATGATGCTAAGTAAACAGATTTTACATAAATTTTTGTAAGATAAAAATATTGTATAGAGTTTTATTATCGATATACATATAATATTTCATATAAAAAAAATTAATCATAACTTTTTATAAAGATCTTATAACTCGATTCTATTTCCATCATAAAATTTGTTTTAAAAAATTCTTTAAAATAAAATCCATTTGTAATATACTCCCTTCGTTCCTGAAAGTTCGACTCACTTTGCATTTGCACGGTCTCCAATGAATATCTTTGACCATTAATAACTTCGGCTATGTATAAGTAAAAATTTAAAAAGTTGATATTTGAAGAATTTATCATTAGGGGAATCTAATAAGATCAAATTTGTTAATTTATTTTGATTGTATAAATCATAAAATGTGGTCAAAGTTTTGACCACATGAATAGTAAGTGAGTCGAACTTTCAGGAACGGAGATAGTATTTAATTTATTCAAAAAAATAATAGAGAATTAGTTAAATGCGTTTTAATATGTAAATATAATATTAATTGAATAAACGTAATTTTAAGTTAATAATAACATAGATATCTATTACAAATAAAACTACAAAAAGTACACTATATCATGCATATCAAAAAGGATTATATGATTGTATTTAACATAGCCAAAAAGTTTATCCTAAATTTTTATATTCTGAGCATCGTCCGGACACAAAACTAGTTTACAGTATATAAAGAGCCAAAACTTCATCACATCTCCATAAATTCTCCATCTTCCTACTTTATAATAAGAAACTATACTACATACTCTTGTTTAACAAATGCTCGAAAACATCATTTATGACTCTCATATTGGTTCTATTAGTTATTTTATCTTGTGGTAAGTGCTAGAGGTTATTTTTGTATCCAAATTAGTATTGTCTGTCAATAATTTATTTTTTTAATTAAGTTTACATTTACAATCAATTTACATTTTTAAATGATACTACTGTACACGTACACATGAAACATATTGCATGCCAAAGCACACACATACCCTTACATAGTGCAAATTTTATCATGGATTATAAATTTATATTTATTTATTTTAATTTTTTTTTTATCATGAGAGCAGTAATTAATGCTTCGAGCTCAAGGTTACCTCACGAAATTGGAGTACTTGGAGTAGGTGGGCGTTGCACACCAGATCTAAGATGTTCAGATGGAGAGTGTATCGGAGAGTGTATCGCAAGCTGTGGAGGGGAGGGGGGGCACAAGCTCCACATTCACATTGCCTTTGTGACTCATGTTGTTGTATAAGATAAATTTACATTGTAAAATAATGCAATAATTATAATTTGAATAAAGGAATGATACACATTCTTTGTAGTTCGTTGCATTCTCCATGATGATGTTGTAGAGGTAGATATGTCCCATTTTATTTACCATTACCTTTGTTTTTCTTGAGTTGCCCTCTTTTGCAACATAATAATTTTTACAAAAATTGTTTTTCTTTGGGAGTTGCCCCTCTTTTGCACAATAAAAAAAATAAAAATAAATAAATTATACTTGATGGTTATATAGTTCCGAACACGAGTAGTTCATAATTCACCTTCAAAAAATTAAGAAAATATATAGATAACGTAATTATGCTAATATAGAGATGTGATTTAATTGCGCAAGGGTGCAGTGATCAACATAATAAAAATACATGGTAAAAACATGTTTAATTTAGGAAAAACAAAAACAAATATTTTGATATTGAAAAACAAATATTTTAATAGGAATAACAAAAAGAAATGGAGAGAGAGAAAAATATTGCCTTAAATATTGAAATAAATTCAACCTTTTTTTTTTTTGACAAATAATTAATCAAGTAAGGGGATTTAAGAAACAATTCTAAGCCTTTTGAAATCAAATAGGGACAAATATGTAAAAGAACATTTTTAGAAATATAGATGTTCATGCATTATAAGAGTTTTGCTAAACGTTTTATAAGATAGGGATAATGTATTTGTTAAATTCAAATTTCTTCTATAGATATTGTATGAGTTCTTATTAATTAATTAATTTTAATTATCAAAACAATTGTTAATGTCTTTTATAGGGGCTTTATTATCTAAATAGAATTATAAAATTATGAGTTAAATAATAAATTTCTGATCTTGTATGAATAATATGACGTGGCAAATAAGTTTAACAAATTTAATTTCTTATTTTAAATCATACAATTATAACTTAGAACGATTAGAACCAACAAATCTAACTAATTGTTTATAAGATTTTTTTTCCTTCGAATTTTAATGAGTAAGCCAAAAAATATGAATACATAAATTCTAACAAGTATCCATGAACATTCATTAAAAATATCGTAACAAAATATACCAATAATATCAATGGCAAGTCCACACGAACATAAATTCTAACAAGTACCTATAAACATTTGTTAGAAATCGTAACATAATATACTGATAATATCGATGGCAAGTCCAAATGGGCAACTAATCTGAACCAACTGATTTATTTATGGTGCGTATAATCTAAACTTGCTCTATTTAGGATTTATTAGTCGTATGAAACAACACCAAGGACCACTATACTAATGTAGATAGAAATGTAGATCGAACAAAGAATAAAGGCAAAGGTTGACAAGAAAGTAACAACTTTACAGCATAATTTTGAAACCATTGATAATAAATCTCATCAGAATCTAAAGTAAAATTTGCCACGAAGAGTTGCACCAACATTGGATAGGCATTAGCTAGTCATAAATGAGCCAATAAACCCAACATAATGTGCACCATCAGATGTTGTATGTTTCTGAGAAGTTGCCACTCCGACTGCCACTTCCTTTAATTTAGTGGACTATATCATTTGATCATGCACTCTAACTTATCGGTAAGGCGTGTGGGTAATAGGTGATGCTTCCACGTATCGATGGTTGATTCTGAAGCAAAGACTAGTAATCTAGACGAGATTTGATTTTGTGTATTGGATGTTATATTTTAGAATTCTATCAAATAAACTAGCTAGTTGGCATCCGGTTCTTTATTGTATGTTCATACCAATATACCGTTTACCTTTTTTAAGAAATACGTGTATTATGTTATTAATCAACTTTAGTTGATAATTTGGCACCAACTCACAACAAGACTATTAAAAAAATGAAATAATGTGGATGTCAACTAGTCTGGTAGCTAAAGAGTGTTATGGGGTTGTACCCAAAACCTATTACTCCTTCTGTCCCTTTTTGTTTTTTCCATTTGTTATCTTGACACAATTTATAAGGTAAAAGAATATCCTAAATTACTCTTAATATACTCCGTATAAGACATAACATAGTCATGTCGGGTTTTTATTTGATTCCTTTTAATGAATAGTTTATTAATAATTAATTGTTATATTTTTTACTAGCTAATGAGCGGCTAACAATATTTATGGTCAAAGATTTGCATTGGAAAAGGTGCATATTTAAAGTGGGAAGATCATTTGAAGATGGAGGGAGTATTAAATATTGTCTGCATCATTGTTCTTTGTGGCTCTTATTCCTAGCTTTGTTCAATGGAAAAATTTCTGGCTTCAATCATCTTTGTTCTAAGCTATATAATCTTGGCCGTTTATTTGTAATTTGAGGAATAATTTTTTTTTTTATTTTTTTTTTGAGGAACGCAAATCTGAGGGATATTACTTATAAGCTCTTAGGTTTATGTAGACCACCACATATATAAGGGAGTAATGAATGTAAGAAATTTATTTTGGTTTGAACTTAGATGAGAATTTTCTCTCCACTATAGTCTTTATGGCTATTAGTCTTATTACAAATCTTTGTAATTTCATCAAAATCTTGCTAAGACTCTATATGTTAGGCTTAGATTGAAACCTTTGATACATTGAACTTTGTGGTTAATGTAGCAAGAATCATCTGTTATTGCATTTATTACTTATCTGCTCATAGTTGCTCAAATATCTATAAAGATTGTTTCTTAGGAGTTGAAAAATCATTGAGCAATCATTATGTTCTTGATTATTTCACAATTAGTGGTGATATGGTAAGTGTTTAGGGTAAAAGATACCCCAACACGTGGTCCAATCCTATACTGACACGTGGCCCTATTAAAGCGCAAAACGTGTCCCTATTAAAGCGCAAAACATGTCCCTATAGGAAGATGACACGTGGCAACCCTAAGAGCACCTGAATGAGAGAAAAGTCCTCACATCAGGAGGCCCAAATCTCGAGAAAGTAGCAAAACGGCGACCCAAAGGACACGTGTCCTTATCTGATTGCACCGCCAATCAGAGTCTAGCTTTTTAGGGCACTAACCCTAAAGGGGCTCACTTTCCCACCCCTATAAATACCCAATCATTTATGATGGGAGGGGTGGATTAAGACATCATTCAAGAGCATTGAATAGCTCCAACTTCTCTCTACTTTCTTTCTCCACATTACTTCATTTTTTCGGTCACTAACTTAACCGTCTGTGGGAATACACGTCTAAAATGGCTAAAGATGGTCAGACACCTGGTCCTGGTGAGAACGGGCATGTAGAGAATATCATCGTAACAATCAACTCTAACGATCCTTTGACCGCTTCATTCCATGAGGTGGGGGATCCCCCGGTCACAACTGTTTCCTTGAAGGCCGCCTTGGAAAAGCTCCAGAAGGAGCTTGAGGGTAAGATTTCCTCTTCTTCTAGACAGCCGTCCAGAAGAGAAGGAAAGGGTGTTCGAATGAAACCCTAGGGCAAGACGACCAACACTGAGGCTGTTGGGAACGCCCCATTCAGACGACATGCAAGGTCACCAGGGGTGCCCCGGATGAAATGGTCCAGGCTCCTTGAGAAAACACAATCGGCTGGGGGGCAGACCAAGCAGCCTTAGAGGCAGCCGAATGAGCCGTCCCAGCGCTGGAAAGATGCTAGAGACTATCTCTGGCACAAGCGGCGGGAGCAGGCACACTAGTCAGACACTGCCTCCACTCCTACCATGCCGGATGAATTCTCCAACCATACTCTCTTCAAGCATACTAGCTCGGCCAGGACCGTACCAGCAGGAGTCAAGTTCACCGTACTCAGACTCCAATTCCATTAATCCAACCACCTCAACTCCAAATGCCCCAGAATTATGGTGTAATTCTACTGCCTACTCCCCCTGTCTATGGGCAGTACGGGCAGTATGACCAGTCGTATGACCGGGCTGCATACTTGGGCAGACCGGCCACACAACCTCATCCCATTGATTGGAAAATGCGCTTGTTAAATCTTGGTGACAAGCCGCCTCCGTTTTCTCAAGAAAATCTCAACTCTCCTCATCCAGCTAAAGTGAAGAGCGTACTTATGGGCGCCTATGATGGTACAGACAAACCGGAAGAGCATGTTACCTTGCACAGAAATCTAATGTACTTGCAGAGTATGGATGATGCCACCTGGTGCAAAGGCTTCCCGGCCGCCCTCAAGGGTGTGGCTCAAGACTGGTTCAATAGTTTGTCAATCGGATGCATCAATTGCTTCACAACTCTCAGCTTATTATTTGTTGGATACTTCTCCTACAATATTTCACCCCGAAAGACTAGTCTTAACTTGTCAACCATCGTCCAAGGAAAGAAAGAGGGGTCGTACTCGTACATCCAAAGGTTCAACTTAGAGAAAGCTCAAATTCCAAATCCGCCGGATGATATGGCCTACTCAGAGTTCCTTCAAGGTTTAACGAAAAATGCAATGGTTTCAAGTTTGATCTGATCAGGAAAAAGATTCGGACATATGCAGGTTTTTTGCGGGAGGCCGAATCATATATTTAGGCAACTGATTTTTGTTCCATTACAAAATCATAAGAGCCGGCCAAGGGGACCAAGAAGAAACAATCTTCTCAGCAAGACTCGGCCGAAAAAAAGAAGAAAGGAAGCAAAAAAAGAAAAGAAGTTTGGGTGGCCGACTTCCAATAGATGAAGTCAAAGAAAGCTAAGACGTACGACCCTCAGTACAAGTACAATAAAGATTGTTATTCAAATTTGATGGAAATCAAAGATAAGTGAGTTTGAGAAGCCTCAGCCTTTGAGAAGGTCGGCCTAGTACAGAAACAAGAACAAGTACTGTCATTACCACAAGGATGTAGAGCATTACACGAACGACTACAACAATTTGAAGAGGTTGCTGGATAAACTAGCTGAGAAGGGCATGCTCAACTCATACGTCCTGAAGTCCAAGTTCACCTACTCTCGGACAGACAAAAAATCTGTGAAGAAAAAAGCAAAAGAGAAGGAAAAAAATGATGGAAATAGCACAAACTCAGGGTTCGTGACCGTTATATCAGGCGGCTTTACTACAAGCAGCCCGACCATGAAGGGAATCAAGCAGGATGCTTGGAATTTTGAAAATGTGATGTTCACCAAAGGGGTAAAGGCCGAGCCCTTTCCAGAAGTGACGGCATGTGAGGCAGACCGAGGAAAAATTAAGGCCCCTCACAATAATGAACC